GAAAAAAAAATAATAAGTCGAGATCTCGAGATAATAAGTCGAGATCTCGAGATAATAAGTCGAGATCTCGAGATAATAAGTCGAGATCTCGAGATAGTAAGTCGAGATCTCGAGATAGTAAGTCGAGATCTCGAGATAATAAGTCGAGATCTCGAGATAATAAGTCGAGATCTCGAGATAATAAGTCGAGATCTCGAGATAGTAAGTCGAGATCTCGAGATGATTTACAGTGCAGACGACATCTATGACCGAGGATCTCCACCATTGAAAGAGGCTAACCTTGTTCGGTCTTGTTTGTAATGTAAGTAACAGTTTTAACTCTGCGAATATTGCTCTATTTTGCGAGTATGTCCAGCAAGTTTCTTGGCAGGCACTCAGTATGCATAACTAACTGCCAAGACCGTGTTTAATGTCACGCAAACACGTGTACACGTGTTTCATTTATTGAATGATCGGGCGGAGGTAAATAAAACTTGCATGCAGTGAACGCAATGCATACGTTTCGATGGGGAGATAAGTATATACCCACAAGCGTAAAATGGTTGTCGCGATTCGCAGGTTTCGCCAATTGCGGTGCACCAACATATGGAATATGACCGAGATTCCCGTGTGCAAAGCCTATCCCTATCTGTATGTCTATTTCACCAGTATTTCAAGAACCACTGGACGGATTTCGATGAAACTTGATACATTGATGCCCTGGGACAGTGCGCAGACCTGATTAGTTCGGGGTCTGCCCACTGCGCAAATCTTTGCATAAAAATTATCTAATTTGTATAATAATTGGTCAACTTTTGGCTTTCCGCAGGTGGTGGTGGTGGTGGTGGTGGTGGTTAGCACGAGAGGGCGCAGTCCGATCTGGATGAAACGTTTCGAAATCAGTCGTCTGTAGGCCACCGTCGAAGCAACAACGTCCTTTTTACGATTTCTTTACAGAATAATCCTCAACAAAACTTAGAAACATTTCATAGAAAAATACAGGCTCTAAAAGTATGTCTATTGCAATACAATTCAACCGACAGCCAGTTTGGCGCCACAATATCTTGCTGGAGCCCGAGTTCTACGCGTGATTTTATTGCGTTCAAAATTGTTCCATTTCAAACTACGCATGCACAGACATTGTGGTTTCTCAAAATTCATACTAATTAAATTGTCACTGACAAAAGTCACTGAAAACATTTTGAGGAATTTCGAGCAATATTACTAGAGTGAAATATAAACGTGCTTCTGCATTCTCCATGAATTTCGTAATTTGCTATGATCAGGGTAAAGAAAAAACCT